AGGAAATGAGCTGCAGTTCCCAAACCCAGTCACTGTCCAGTGACCAATCACCAATGGGTATGAGTGTGCGGCAAAATCCCACACAATACACAGTCACTCCACTTTACGGTATAATCTGTGAAGCGCTTGGAGACGTCTGAATGACATGATAAGGCGCTGTATTAAATACAAGGATTATTATTATTATTATTATTCAGCTCAGGTGTGACCCCTATCTGGCCCACATGGGCCGTGTTTGAGCTGTATATGAATCCATTACCCCCACCCACACATGCCCTCCCCCGACACATCGACCCACCGTCCCTCCCACACACCCCCTCCTCCCCCACACACACACTTTTCCCCTCCTCTACCCCCCCACAAAAACACACACACCAACCTACATGTGTGAGGGACACACAGACAGGTGGGATTGTGTCATCAGGGAAACAGGCCAGAGACAGGGTGGGGAGGGTGACAGGAGGAAGCCGGGTTAGGGTTATCTGTGTGTGTGTGGGGGGTCTGTGTGTGTGTGGGGTATCTGTGTGTGTGGGGGGGGTATCTGTGTGTGTGTGGGGGGGTATCTGTGTGTGTGGGGGGGGGTATCTGTGTGTGTGTGGGGGGGTATCTGTGTGTGTGTGGGGGGGGTATCTGTGTGTGTGGGTGGTATCTGTGTGTGTGGGGGGGGGGGTATCTGTGTGTGTGGGGGGGGGTATCTGTGTGTGTGTGGGGGGGTATCTGTGTGTGTGGGGGGGTTGGGGGGGGGTATCTGTGTGTGTGTGGGGGGGGTATCTGTGTGTGTGGGGGGGGTGTGTGGGGATCTGTGTGTGGGGGTATCTGTGTGGGGGGGGGGGTATCTGTGTGTGTGTGGGGGGGTATCTGTGTGTGTGTGGGGGGGGTATCTGTGTGTGTGGGGGGGTATCTGTGTGTGTGGGGGGTTGTGTGTGGGGGGGTATCTGTGTGTGTGGGGGGGGGGTATCTGTGTGTGTGGGGGTTTGTGTGTGTGTGGGTGTTGTGTGTGGGGGGTATCGGTGTGTGTGTGGGGGGGGTATCGGTGTGTGTGTGTGGGGGGGTATCTGTGTGTGTGTGTCTGTGTGTGTGGGTATCTGTGTGTG